AGGACGTCCGTGCCAAGGGCACACTCACCCCCGACGGACGGAGGACAGACAGACTCAGACTCAGCAACAAGACTAGCAGCGTAGTCTAGACGACAGGCAGCAGCAAAGTCAACAAGCTCAGCGACTAAGGCAGACGCAGCAGCAGACTCAAACGACGGGTCAGTGACAACAGTGGCTAGCAGACGCGTGACAGTAGGGTGCTCAGCACGAAACCGGTCAGACTCAGGGTCCGCGACGTCAGGCAAAGAGGACGCAGGGGGAGACGGAAGAGGAGTACGCTCCGGAGTAGGGGACCGACGCAGGGCTACAAGGCGTGTGCCGGGGACAGCCGGCTGACGCGGACGAGGAACACGACGACCGGTACGACTAGGACGAACAGGCGAGACAGGACGTGACGCAGGCTCACGACGCTCAGCAAGACTACCTGTCTGCTCAGTGTAAGGAGAAGGAGCAGGCAGCGGTGAGCCAGGCTGTAACGGAAGACCAGTAGACGACGGGAGAGTAAGAACCTGACGAAGAACAGAGTCAGGCGGCGGCAGAGACGACGGAGACGGCGGAGCGAAGAACAGGCTGGCGGCGCAGCTGCACCAGCACCAGCAGCTCCAGTACCTCCAGCAGCTCCAGTACCTCCAGCAGCTCCAGAAGCTCCAGCAGCAGAACCGACACCTCCAGGCCCAGGGTCTCCAACCCCAGTGCCTCCAGCAGCAGCACCCCCAGAACCAGCACCTCCAGTCCCAGGGTCTCCAGCCTCCACGTCTCCAGCAGCAGCACCCCCAGAACCAGCACCTCCAGTCCCAGGGTCTCCAGCCTCGGTGTCTCCAGCAGCAGCACCTCCAGACGCAGCACCCCCAGCCCCAGCAGCTCCAGTACCTCCAGTACGAGCACCTCCGGGACCAGCGACTCCAGCACCTCCAGTAGACAAAGTACCAGCACCACTCCTAGCTCCAGGGACGTCAGCAGAAGTACCTCCAGCAGTAGAGCCCCGGGCTCCAGCAGCGCGACCCTGACGGCGACCGTACCAGTCGTGCAGCTGCTGTGAGGTGAGAGGCACACGTGGACGAAGGCGGCTACTCCAAGGAGACCGCGCAACAGCAGACTCAGAACCCTCAGCGCCAGCACCCTCAGCAGCTCCAGCGCCACCAGCACCAGGACCTCCAGCAGCTCCAGAACCTCCAGCGCTCGCACCCTCAGCAGCCCCAGAACCACCAGCTCCAGCGCCACCAGCACCAGGACCTCCAGCAGCTCCAGAACCTCCAGCGCCCGCACCCTCAGCAGCCCCAGAACCACCAGCTCCAGCACCTCCAGACCCCTCACACGCAGGCTCAGCACCTCCAGGCTCCACACTCTCAAGCTCCGCACCCCCAGGCTCAGCACCCCCAGAAGTAGCACCCCGAGCAGGACCACCCCCAGTAGGACCTGAGTCACCAGTGACCTCGACCGGCGCAGGGAAGGGAGGAGGGTCTACCTGAGACACACCTGAAGGAGCAGGACCGGGAGCGGGGAGGGGGTCTACCTGGGGAGCACCTGGAGCGAGGAAGAGCGGCGGGGGAGGGAGAGGGGCAGTGCGGTAGGGGAAGAGACGGTAAAAGGGAACCGACTCGTCGAACGTGACGTCCTGAGACGCAAAGACACGGCGCGAGGTGGGGTGGTAAAACTGCCAACCAGGCGCGTCAGGGACAAAGCCAAGGAAGACACAGGGAACTGCACGGGCGGAGAGCTTGTCCGCAGTGGTATCGCGGACAAAGGCACGAGCACCCCAGACCCGAAAACGCGACGCATCGCCAACCTTCCCCGTCCACAGTAGTGTGGGCGAGGTCTCCGGCAAGGAGACACGGAGCCAGAGGTTGAGCTGATGCGCGGCGTACCGGACCGCAAACGGCCACAGAAAATGGGGGGCAGCCGCATGGATCATGGAGGTACGAGCGACCTCCATGACTAAGCCAATGCGGCGCTCAGCAACCCCATTCTGCTGCGGAGAGTCCGGAAGCGTGAACGACTGGGTGATGCCATGCTCCGCACAGAAGGCTGCCAAGAGGTCTGAGGAGAACTCACCACCTCTGTCAGAGTGCAGACGCAGGACGGGAAACTCCGTCCCAAACCGCTCGCGGAGCTGGAGACGGGCAGCGCGGATCCAAGGGATCAAAACAGCAGGGACCTCCCCCTTGCTGCGCAGGGGAAAGACCGTGGTGTAACGCGTGTAGTCGTCAACAACCAGCAGGAAGTACCGCTCGTGGCCCTGTCCACGGACGCGGGCGGGGCCCCACACGTCCAGGTGGAGAGTCTGCAGGGGAGCCTCTGTGGGAGGGAACGAGGAGGAGTGAGGAGCGGCGCGCTGCCGCCCCTCGACGCAAGGAATGCAGGGCGGCGCAAGCGAGGGAGGCAGGGCAGGCAAAGACCTGGGAAGACCAGAAACCAGGAAGCGAGAGTGCATGCCACGAAGGCGCTGCACCGAGGGGTGACCAAGGCGGTGGTGCCACAGGAGGGTCTGGTGCGACAAAGCGCGACACTCGCAGGGGGCCGTCGGCTGACCTGACGCAGACGCAGACGCAGACGCAGCTACCTGAGGGGACTCAGTGGTCAGGGTGTACAGACTCGAGCCAGGCGCACGGGAAAACGTGGCCAGGTGTCGGCCGGTCCGAGCACACGTACAGTGAGTCACTCGCTGACTCGCAGGAGTGAACTGGTGCACCCCCCTATCCTGGAGGTCAGCTCCACTCACCAAGTTCGTAGAGAACGAGGGGAGGTAAAGACCTGACAGCAAGCCAGACGGGGCGGCCGGACACGGCAGAACCGTGGAGTAGTGGGCAAGGACTGGACCCCCGGAGGGGTCCGCCAGGGAGACTGGAACCGGCCGACTAAGCGGCGTGAGTGTGGTACAGTCGCGAAAGAAGGAGCGGGAAGCACCTGAGTCAAGCGTGAAGGTGTACAAGGCCGCAGCAGGCGCAGAACCAGAGAGAGCAGACTCACCAGCACCTGGAGCAGGAGACGTACCGGCACCTAGAGCAGCAGCCTCACCAGCACCCAGAGGAGGAGACGTACCAGCACCTAGGGCAGCAGCCTCACCAGTACCGGGAGCAGCAGGCGCTATACCAGGGTCAGGCGGGACGCACAGGTAACAGGCACGGTCAACACTAGTAGGCAATGCATACATGGCAGTGAGAATAGCATCATAGTCAGGAGCAAAGATATCTACCCTCTGTCCAAGCAGCTCCAGCCAGTCGGGGAGCTCAGCCTCGTCGCCAAACACTGTACGCCAGTCGTCGCTCAGACGGGCGAAGCAGCGGGACTGTGTGTGACCAAGCGTCCCGCAAGGCTGACCAACCCGAGCACCTGTGCGAATGACGTACTGGCAGCGAACTGTACGCGTAGACCTGCTAAACTGAGCGTACCACTCGTGGAGCTGCCGGGACGTAAGTGTCTCGCGAGGACGCCGCTGCAGCTGCAGCTGGCCACTGCCAGACGCTCCCAACTGACCAGCTCCAGGGGGACAGCTACGACTGCTACCGCGACAACCCCAGCTAGTATACCACTCACTAAGCTGCTGGGGCGTGAGAGACTCACGTGAACGTCGCTGGAGCTGCATCTGGCCACCGGCCAGTAGCAGTAGCAGCAGCAGTAGCGCGGGCAGGGCAGGCGCGGCAGGCCGACAGGCAGGCAGGCCGGCAGGCAGACAGACAGACAGGCCGGCAGGCAGGCAGGCAGGCAGGCAGGCAGGCAGACAGGCAGGCCGGCAGGCAGGCAGGCAGGCAGGCAGGCAGACAGGCAGGCAGGCAGGCCGGCAGGCAGGCAGGCAGGCAGACAGGCAGGCAGGCAGGCAGGCAGGTAGGCAGGCAGGCCGGCAGGCAGGCAAGCAAGCAGGCAGGCAGGCAGGCAGGTGCTCACCAAAGGCTGGAAGGGCAGGCGCTCGCCGGGCGAGCAGGGCCGGCGCTCAACGGGCGGCGGCGGAGTCGGGGCCGCAACACCCGGTGCAGAGTAGGGCCGAAGCAGCTGCAGGGCGGGGCCGCTTCAGCGGCAGGTCGGGGCCGTGGCAGCTGCAGGGCGGGGCCGTATCAGCGGCAGGTCGGGGCCGAGGCAGAGGGACGCGCGCGGCTCGGCGCGGGCTGCGCTGACAGCGCGCTGGGCTGCTGCAGGCCGCGCGCGGCCGCGTTAGGCAGTGGCGAGCCGCGCGCGGCTCGGCGCGGGCTGCTGCGGGCCGCGCGCGGGCTGCTGCGGGCGGCGCGCGGGCCTCGCGAGGCAGGAGCAGGCTGTGCGCGGCTCGGTGCGGGCTGCGCGCGGCTGCAGCGGGCTGCGCGCGGCTCTGTGCGGTCTGCGCGCTGCTGCAGCGGGCTGCGCGCGGCTGCAGCGGGCTGCGCGCGGCTCTGTGCGGGCTGCGCGCGGCTGCAGCGGGCTGCGCGCGGCTCGGTGCGGGCGGCGCGCGCCGGCAGCGGGCTGCGCGCGGCTCGGTGCGGGCTGCGCGCGGCTGCAGCGGGCTGCGCGCGGCTCGGTGTGGGCTGCGCGCGGCTGCAGTGGGCTGCGTGCGGCTGCGGGCTGCGCGCGGCTGCGGGCTGCGCGCGGCTCGGTGCGGGCTGCGCGGGCTCGGTGCGGGCAGCGCGCGGCAGCAGCGGGCTGCGCGCGGCTCGGTGCGGGCTGCGCAGGCCTGAAGGGCGTGTAGGGGCGGCGCGCGGGCCTTACGGGCCTCTAGGGGCAGCGCGCTGGCCTAGGGCAGCAGGAGGCAGCGCTAGGGCTGCTGGACGGCTCGCGTAGTGCAGCACGTCACAAGGCAAGGCAGGCAGGTACGTGGGGTAGCGCGGTAACCGCAGCGGTAGGTGGGCCCGAAAAAAAAACGGTCCTACGGACCTTAGTGCTCTGATACCATGTTAGAATCAGGCAGCAGGGATGATGAACTAACAGCATGCAGGAGTACAAGTAGGAAACCCTAATTTGGTTGTACCCCATATGGGCTACCCCACTACAGCCTAGACAATATGCAGCATACATGTTTGACATACGCGTCAGCCGTAATGGCGACTGAGGCGGAGAAGTCAGCGGTGGACCAAGGTCACACCGCTGAGAGTGCAATTGCTCCGCCTCCGGCTCCTGCTGCCGATGTTGCTGTTGCTGCTGCTCCCCCACTCCCCTTGGCTCCTCCCGCGGTGGTTGCGACGTCCGCGGTTCCGCTTCCTCTGTCGCCGGCTCCCCCACCGAGCCTTCCGCACGCAGTTCCCGTGTCCGGCGCGCCGGTTCCCGTTGCGCAGCCGATGCCTGGGGCGCAGCCGCCCGCTCGAGCTGTCCCAGGGGGCCCTGCGCTGGGGACAGCGGTGGGCGTCGGCCTCGATTCTGCCCCCTTGGTTGCCCCTTCGGCTGCGCCGGTGAATCCCGTCGCGCAGCAGCCCGCGGAGTCCCAGATGCCCGCTGCCGCGGGGGGCAATGCGGCAGCGCATCGGGGGCGAGGTTCTCCTCGTCGTCGTCCCTCCTCGTCATACCGTTCGGCACACCGCGGTGGTCGCGGTAGCTGGTGGGGAGGTCACGGGCGCGGGCGCGGAGGGCCGAGCGAGATGCAGCAGCTGCGCGAGGATTTCCCGGGGATGCTGGCTGCGGCGATGCGCAACGCTCTGAATGGCGCACCGAATCTTGGTAGCTCCCCGGCACCTGCCGCTCCTGCGCCCGCGCCTGCTCCTGTGAATGCGCAGGTGCTGGCCGCGCCCCTTGCTGCACCTGCTCCCCATGCATCTGCGTACCCACGGGCTCCAGCTCCTGGAGGTGACCCTGCTCCCCCTGCCTACGTTCGTCCTGTGTCTGCCTCGCAGTATCCGCCCCTGCCCTGGATTCCCCCTCTTCCGGACACGGGATTTGTGGGAGCGGGAGGCGGAGGGGTGAGGGGTGCCTTCGTTCCTCCGCGTCGTCTTGCCGAAGCTCCGTCCGTGCAGCCTCCGCCCCCGCTACCCGTTCCGCCTGCCGCGATGAGGACTGGAGTGGCTCAAGTTCCCACGGCGACCCTGGCGCAGCTGTGGCGCTTGGTGGAGTGCCAGCAGGCCCTGACACTGATTCTGGTGAATGCGCATTTCGCCATTCTCCAGAGCCCAGGGAGCACTCTCGGTCGTGGGGCTCGAGGAGATTGCTTGGCGGCCGCTGCGCAACTGGCCTTGCTCCTCCAACCCTTGCTGGGAGCGCCCGCGATGGGAGGCGTTGCGGTTTCAGGACTGGACGAAGCGGTCCAGGGTCTGACCGCACACCTTCAGGCTGGTGGCGGGATTGAAGCTGTAGGCGCGACCGCGTTAGTGGTCCAGCAACTGTGGAGGGCCATGCGTGGTATCCAAGCGGCGCTGGAGGCCCATCTGATGTAGTTTCGGGCGCCCTCCGCGCGTAGACCCTCTGCATTTTGTGTTCTAGTAGCTGATCGCGTGGCCCATCGCTGTTTTGTGTTGCGTGCTTATTGTTTTCCTTGCTGCTAATCCTTGCGAAACCAAAACACGCGGCAGAAGGCCGCGCAACGCGAGCGCTGGCGGCCGCAGGCCGCCGGCGTGAGCGCCTACGAAAATCTGGAAACTGAATGAACTAATGAGGGAAAGAGGCCCCTACGGGACCCTTATATAGCTGAGAGGCAAGGGACAGAGGCAGGGGAGAGGCAGAGGCTAAGTCCTCTCTCTCTCTCTCTCTCTCTCTCTCTCTCTCTCTCTCTCTCTCTCTCTCTCTCTCTCTCTCTCTCTCTCTCTCTCTCTCTCTCTCTCTCTCTCTCTCTCTCTCTCTCTCGCTCTCTGCCTTTCACTCATCATCTTTCTGACCATCAAAATCTCCAATCACATCTATGTGCCCACCTTGCCCTCTCCCTTTTTCCATAGGGCTTGCTTCTCGTTCTTTCCATCAACTCCTGCCGTCTGCCTTCCTCTTCCTCCTCCCCATCACCCTTTCCTCTCTTCCGCTGCCTTCTCCCTTCCAGCCGCCTCCCTCTCCCCCATCACCCTTTCCACTCACATCCGTCTCCCCTCCCTACTCTCTCTCCTTTTTTGCTTCATCCCTGCTTACTCTTCCCCGTGTGTGCTGTCTTGTGCTTTCCACTCCCCATCACCCTTTCCACTCATCTGCTGCCTTTTCCACTCACCCTTTCCAATCACCTCCCTCTTCCCCATCACCCTTTCCACTCACATCCATCTCCCCTCCCTACTCTCTCTCCTTTTTCCCTACCCATCTCCCCTCCCTACTCTCACTCCTTTTTCCCTTCAGCCCTGCTTGCTCTTCCAGTGCCTTGTGCTTTCCACTCCCCTCCCCTCATCTTCACCTTTTCCAGCCGTATCCATCTCCCTTCTCTTCCCTCCCTCCCCTCTCTCTGCCGCAATTTCCACCTCATCTCCCCCCACCTCCCCTTTCTCCCCTCCCTCCGCCCCCTTAAACCCCAACAAGTCATCTCCTGCCCCATTCCGCCAATTCTCGTACTCATCCGGAAAATTCGTCAACGCTCGGGGCCCACGAAGTTTCACCGCTGCCCGATCGTACGCCCGGGCAGCGTCTTCGGCGCAGGTAAAAGTTCCGAGCCACACGCGGGATTTCTTCTTGGGGAATCGGATCTCAGCCACCCACTTCCCGCAGTGCCGCTGCCGCACCCCCCGGTACCTGTTCTTGTCCTTTTTTGCTCGCTTGCTGGGCAGCGGTGTGAATGGAAAAGAATCGGCTGTGTTGGCACCTGTGGGCTGATTAGAGGAAGCATCAACAGGTGCACCTTTGCTGCTGCCTTCACCAGCATTAGAGGGGGTCCGCATGGTGGTAGCCCCGTCTTTGGCTGTGGTTTTAGGTGCAGTTTTCCGCCTTCCCCTGCTCTGTAAGCCAGACCTGCTGCTCCCGCTACTATGCCCACTCCCACTCCAATCAACCATACCACCGCCTTCCACTCCCCCATTACCCTCACTGTTCCCACAACCATAACCCTCACCCTTCCCACCATCATCTCCCCACCCACTCGGCCCAACCTGACCCCCACCAGCACTCCCACTGTCACCACCCCTCCTCATACCACCATCCCCCGCTGCCAGCCCTCCTTCCACTGCCTTCTCCAAACTCTTTGCACCTGCCGCTCCCAGAACTATTTTCATCGGCAGGAAATTTCTTTTCCCTTCGATTCCCTCCTCCTCGTCCTCCTCCTCTTCCTCCTCCTTCCCCTCTCGCCTTCTCCCTCTCTTCTTACCCCTCTCTTCCTCGTTGCTTCTCCAAAACCCTCCCATTTCACCATCCAGCCTTGTATTCTCCACAGGTCTCTCCTCTCCCCTTCTTACTGCATTACCCATCCTCTCCCATTTGACCTGCCTTCCCTCCTTGCTTTCCCGCACTTCTCCTGTAAAACAAGCTGCATCAGCAGCACCACCAGCAGTAGCCACAGCAGCAGCAGCACCAGCAGCAGCAGCACCACCACCACCGCCACCACCACCACCACTGTCAGCAGTACTATTACAAGCACCAGGGAATGCAAGCTGTGCGTTGAAAAGGTGAGGTGCTCGGCGATTCACCAAAAAGGGACTAGCACTGCCGCCACAAGTACCGTCAGCAACAGCAGCAGCAGAAGCAGAAGCAGCAGCAGCAGCAGCAGCAGCAGCAGCAGCAGCAGCAGCAGCAGCAGCAGCAGCAGCAGCAGCAGCAGCAGCAGCAGCAGCAGCAGCAGCAGCAGCAGAAGGAGCAGCAGCAGCACCGGGCTTACAGTCTGGGTTGAAACTGTGAGTAGTTTGAGCGGACATATGCAGTGAGCCAATCAGCTGCGATGGGCTGTTCAGGTGGGATGCTTGACGGGAAAGGAGGGCTGCAAGCAGGGGGCTAGCAGCAACTGCTGATGCCACGGCAGCAGGAGATGCTGAGGGATTAGGAGCAGGGCCAAAGGCAGGGGAAGGAGCAGGAGGAGGAGGACGAGGAGGAGTAAGCGGATTGATTGCAGCAGCAACTGCAGCAGCAACAGCTGCAGTAGCAGGAAAATTGGCTGCACCAGGAGCGAAAGGAGTAACGGTAGGGCTAGAAGCAGAATCAAAAGCAGCAGCAGCGGCAGAATGAGCAGCAGAATGAGGAGCTGGAGGAGCAGAAGCAGAAGCAGGCACACTTGATGCAACCGGCGCAGGCAGATGAGCACAGGAGCATGCAGGTGTGAGGGATCTTGAAAGCACAAGAGCAGGAGCATGCATGGAAGAAGTGGAAGGGGCACCTGGTTGCATGCGGAAATGGGCTGCTCCAGTCCTGGATTCACTTCTGGTTACCCTTGCTATTATTTCAACTGAACCACCTTCAACTCCTCTTAAGCCGCCTCCTCCTCCTCCTCCTCCTCCTCCTCCTCCTCCTCCTCCTCCTCCTCCTCCTCCTCCTCCTCCTCCTCCTCCTCCTCCTCCTCCTCCTCCTCCTCCTCCATTCACCCCTTCTCCTCGTCTTCCCCATCGTCCGGATTCCCCTATGCAGCCTCCTTCCTGTCCTGCCACATCAAACCGCACAAGACCCAACTGCACCTCACGCATCTCACACTCAGCCTTATTTACCCTCATTTGAAGACACTCCACCTGCTCAGCCTCTGAATTCTCCACTGCCTTGAAACAAACTGCCGCATTTACTCCCAGCAGCGGGTTTTCGGCCTGTTTTTTAGCCATGCCCGTATAGCCAGCTGCAGGGGATGCAGTAGAGGCAGGAGAAACCGCACCACGGGCAGCAGAATCGACAGTGGTAGCAGCAGCAGCAGCTGGGGGAGCAGGAAACGCAGCAACAGCAGAAGCAGTAGCAACAGCAGCAGCAGCAGCAGCAGTAGTAGCAGCAGGAGCAGGAGCAGGGGCAGAAGGACGAACAGCAGAAGCAGGAGACAGGGACAGGGACAAGGAGAGGTCCAGATCTTCCTTATGTGGGTTCTTGCTCTCACACTGGAGCGATGACGCATCTCCCCTGCTTTCCAGGGCAGGATCTAGAGGCATCTCAAATGCTTTCATGCTTCCATGCTTGAGCGACCTATCTTTCCCACCATCAGGGCAGGCTTTTAAGACGGCTCTCCCGCTTTCCAGGGCAGGACCCACTGCTGCAAAAGGTACCTCTCCCTCCCAGCCAGCTCCTGAGCTTGCGCTTGTGTTCTGTACCTTTGGAGAGCTGACGGGCCTTAAAGATGGAGTGATAGAAAGTCGGGAGCGGGCTAGATCTGAGATGCTGATACCATTGCTTCCACCTTCGGCTCCTCTTAGATTTCCCGCAGATCCTGCCTCACCTCCCCCCAGATCCACTGTCGATTTGATTCCTCCAGTTCCTCCAATACCTACTGTTCCTCCTATCCCCCCTATCCTTTCTCCAACATCCCTTCTGCGCCTTCCTCTAGTTTCCGAATTTACCTCAAACGGCCGGGCCACTCTCAAAAACCCACCAGCTGACTCCTCTGTGCCTTCTTCTCCTGCTCCACCCACTCCACGATCCACTATTCTTAAAAAAGCAGCCAGATTTGGCAATGAAGGTGCTTCTACCCCATCCGCACCCGCCCCAGCCATCCCAATGCTCCTAGGTTGTGGACCCCGAGAAGGCGCAGGTAAGGTGGCTGCTCCTGCAGCAGAGCCTTCTCCTCTTGCTGACCTTGCTTGAACTTCCCAATGCATGTCTACATTTGGCAAAACTGCTACATTTGGAAATCTAGTACCCCCTGAGACTTCTGAGGCTGCCCCAGCAGTCATTCTTATAATAGCAGCTATGATGCTGCTGTTGCTGCTGCTGCTGCAGCTGCTGCTGCTGCAGTTCCTGATGTTGCTGTTGTTGCTCCTGCTGTTTCTGCTGCCGCCAATCCTGTTGCTGTTGCTGCACCTGCTCCTGCTGCTGCCCTTGCTGCTGCTGCTGCTGCTGCTGCTGCCCCTGCTGCTGCTGCTGCCCCTGCTGCTGCTGCTGGCCCTCCACCTCCTGCTGCTGCTGCTGCTGCTGCTGCTGCTGCTGCTGCCTCAGTTGATGTCGCTCCCGATGCTGCTCCCACTTTTGAGGCTGTTGTTGCTCTTGATGCTCCTTCGGCTGCCACCCTTGTTGCTCCTGCTGCTGCTGCTGCTGCTGCTCCTGTTGCTGCTGCTGCTGCTGCTGCTGCTGCTGCTGCTGCTGCTGCTGCTGCTGCTGCTGCTGCTGCTGCTGCTGCTGCTGCTGCTGCTGCTGCTGCTGCTGCTGCTGCTGCTGCTGCTGCTGCTGCTGCTGCTGCTGCTGCTGCTGCTGCTGTTGCTGCTGCTGCTGCTGCTGATGTCGTTGCTGTTGTTGCTCCTGCCGCTGTATCTGGTGTTGCTGCTGCCAATGCTGATGCTGTTGTTGCTGCTTATGCTCCATGCGCAGCCACTCCTGTTGCTCCTGCTGTAGTTTCTGTTGCTCCTGATGTCGCTGCTGTTGCGATTGCTGCTGCTGCTGCTGCTGCTGCTGCTGCTGCTGCCGCCTCAGACGCTGCAGCTGCATTTGCCACGAAACAAGAGCAGAAGACCCCTCATCCAATTCAGCAGGTGGGGCAAAAACTGCAGGTAACATCGGCGAGAGTGATGGAGAGTGAGAGGACTGGGAATGCAGCAGCGAATCGACAGACGCCAGTGAAGCAGCAGCAGCAGCAGCGGCAGCAAGGGACTGGCCAGGGACTTGCTGCGTGAATGCAAATGGTCGGGGAAGAGATACTGCAGTGGGTGCTGAAAGTTGGCCATGAGATGTGGTATTCAGCGGGGATAAGACAGGCGCCGGGCACGGGGCAGCAGCGTCAGTTCTTCCATCCAGTGTATGTCTTGGTGAGGAACCTCCCATGGAAAGTTGGGTTGGAGAAGAATGCAGAAACGGCGTCGGCGGTGGGGATGGAACAGGGCGTGTCGCTGCAGGTGGGGCGATAGATCCATGGTGTGGAAAGATTGGTGCTGACTGCTGTGCCGCTGGCCTTTCATTTGACTCGCTGATGTGCAGATGCTGTGCTGTAGCTGACCGTTCGCTGGTTCCACCTGGTTTTATGGCTGCTGGAAAGGCTGTGGGGAAGGCCGTTGGGGGATGTCTTGAAGGCGGCGGCAGCGGCGGCGCTGCTGCTGCTGCTGCTGCTGCTGCTGCTGCTGCTGCTGCTGCTGCTGCTGCTGCTGCTGCTGCTGCTGCTGCTGCTGCTGCTGCTGCTGCTGCTGCTGCTGCTGCTGCTGCTGCTGCTGCTGCTGCTGCTGCTGCTGCTGCTGCTGCTGCTGCTGCTGCTGCTGCTGCTGCTGCTGCTGCTGCTGCTGCTGCTGCTGTTGCTGCTGCTGCTGCTGCTGATGTCGTTGCTGTTGTTGCTCCTGCCGCTGTATCTGGTGTTGCTGCTGCCAATGCTGATGCTGTTGTTGCTGCTTATGCTCCATGCGCAGCCATTCCTGTTGCTCCTGCTGTAGTTTCTGTTGCTCCTGATGTCGCTGCTGTTGCGATTGCTGCTGCTGCTGCTGCTGCTGCTGCTGCTGCTGCTGCTGCTGCTGCTGCTGCTGCTGCTGCTGCTGCTGCTGCTGCTGCTGCCGCCTCAGACGCTGCAGCTGCATTTGCCACGAAACAAGAGCAGAAGACCCCTCATCCAATTCAGCAGGTGGGGCAAAAACTGCAGGTAACATCGGCGAGAGTGATGGAGAGTGAGAGGACTGGGAATGCAGCAGCGAATCGACAGACGCCAGTGAAGCAGCAGCAGCAGCAGCGGCAGCAAGGGACTGGCCAGGGACTTGCTGCGTGAATGCAAATGGTCGGGGAAGAGATACTGCAGTGGGTGCTGAAAGTTGGCCATGAGATGTGGTATTCAGCGGGGATAAGACAGGCGCCGGGCACGGGGCAGCAGCGTCAGTTCTTCCATCCAGTGTATGTCTTGGTGAGGAACCTCCCATGGAAAGTTGGGTTGGAGAAGAATGCAGAAACGGCGTCGGCGGTGGGGATGGAACAGGGCGTGTCGCTGCAGGTGGGGCGATAGATCCATGTTGTGGAAAGATTGGTGCTGACTGCTGTGCCGCTGGCCTTTCATTTGACTCGCTGCTGTGCAGATGCTGTGCTGTAGCTGACCGTTCGCTGGTTCCACCTGGTTTTATGGCTGCTGGAAAGGCTGTGGGGAAGGCCGTTGGGGGATGTCTTGAAGGCGGCGGCGGCGGCGGCTGCTGCTGCTGCTGCTGCTGCTGCTGCTGCTGCTGCTGCTGCTGCTGCTGCTGCTGCTGCTGCTGCTGCTGCTGCTGCTGCTGCTGTAGAAATCCCAAAAGCTGTACCATAGCGTCTTGGGTCATGCTCACACTCCCTCTTTGAGATCCACCCCCTCTCGCACAGGCAAATTCAATTCCTCCAGGCACAACCAAGGCCGTAGTAGTGCCACTGATCTCTGCAATCATGTCTTGGGATCCTCTCCCTCTGTTAGAATCCACACCACTTACAGATCCAAAACCTACTTGTGGCACTTCCACAGAAGAACTGTTTCTAATCTGACGATCATTGCTGACCAAGCCTGCAGTAATCTGTCTTGTGCGTTCAGGGTTCAGAGACTCCAAGAAGGCCGAGAGCACAGCAGGGCCGCTGAAGGAAAGGTCAGCCGGAGTGGTGGAGAGCGGTGGAGTAGTTCTAGATATGCTCGGGTGTCCCAGGGTTGCGATAGGAGTAGTCCGTGTGGGATCAATGTAAGGATCATGATGTGGAACGGCCATGGTGCTTAGGGAGGGATGGCCTTCAGGCGAGGAAGGCGCTAGTGTGAGAGAGGGGTGGGGGAAAGAGGCCATGGTAAGGTAGTGCTACTATGCACACCCGGTGAGGCCAACTCCCTCGGAGGGACTGAAGACCGGGCCTGTTTGCGAGTCGACTCAAGAACAAATGGTGCGGTGGAGGTACTGGGAGAATGGCACGGGCGTTGTGACTGCTTACGGATCTTTGAATACGCCGTGTGCCAGGCGAGAGAGCCACTATTGGCCTCTGTCTATGGTGTTTGAGACGACAGATGGCTGAAACTGTTGTATGAAATTACCAAAGTCACCGAACGCCGGCGCCAGAAGGATGACTTCAAAATTAGTCGATTATCGATCCAGAGTTTCGTGAATTTTTTCTTCTTCTTCTTTTTACCTCTCCCGATTGCACCGGGCCCGGCAGGTGAAAGAACCAGAGCCACTGCAGGGTTCTGCTACTAGAGATGCTGGGGCGAAGTGAAATGGCCCATTTGTAGATCTGAGACTTCCGAACGGTTGAAGCTCCCCTCTCATTTGTAGATCTGAGACGCTCTCTCGCCTACCTGAAGCACGTGCAAGGGGGGTAAAAATCAGGAAAAGCATGCTCCTTTTTTTAAATACAGTCATGACGAAGGATGGGGGTCCAATATCTATCCTCAATGTTACCACGTGACGTGCACTGGGATCAGACGATGACAGCAATCACTGTGTTCAATAAGTTGACAGATCTGTACCATTTGCAAAAGTCTTGGATATGCAACTGACACAATGATGAAAACAGGTATAGTTTTTTATTCTCTCTTATTTGTTTTTCTGACCTGTCGTCAGCAGCAATTGGAATCCAGCTTCAGCTGTTAGTCACCGTCTTCTCTCCAGTTTTTTTCAGTCCGCTTCTGCTGACTGGCACATATGGTTGCTCGATGCGCATCCATCCAAGCTGTTCGTTTTGCGCGGCAACAAAGCTTGCAGCTGGGTTATCCTATAGAAACACGCTCAGTGACGACGCAACGGCGATTGGTTCACTTGAATCGCTCAGCTGAGGCCGGGATGAAACCATTTCTGCTTAGGGTTGGAATGACCTCTTGATGTCAAAAAACGACCAACGGTTTTGATAAATCCCGCAGAGAATCAGCGTGTGCCCAGTTTGCTCGAAAGCGCTCAGAATTGATCCTGCCAGTGAACAAACGACTACAACGAAAACACATGCCACGCTAAGGTTGTGACGTCGTTATGTCACAAGCCACGCCAACGACAGCAGTTGAGTTTCGTTTCTGAATTTACAAACCCAGACCACTTCTGATTGTGCTCGGAGATGGAAGGAGGTGAGCTTGCAGCTCACAACACATCTAGGGCGGGTCATAATTACTGTGCAATCCTTCACATTATCTACTTAGGTTATGGTGTGGAGCAAAAATCCAAGATTCGTTCCCAACCCTGCTTTAACGTATTTCACCGCCCTAAACAAACACAACCAAATAACGTTGACCTAAATGGTGAGTGGCGAAGAAGGTCGCTCTTCCCCCGCCATCTAAGGTACTAGGAATGATTCACGAACGAGACACAGGAAACTGCAGCAGGTGGTTGTCCACGTCGCTAGTGCGTTTGAAGAACATACACCCTATTTCTCGCTATACTGGAAGTGGGATTCACTGGCTACAGTGCGTACTGTTGCTTGGAACATAGAGCTTTGGTGCTTACAACCAAACTGCAGGAAAGTGACGGGCAAATGCTCTCCCGGAGAACGGTACACAACGGTTTTCAAAAAAAACTTGCTTTGGCGTACGGTTGAGTGCGTGCAAACGTGCTTATATGGTACGTTCTGGGACCATCCTGGACGCATTGATGTGTGTACATCCGATGAACCAGTATAGTCAACGACAGTGTAGCGAGAAGGATTGTGTATAAGAATGGGCAGCAAACAGCAAACAGGCTCCCGACTGGACACGATCACTGGAGCAAGCGGAGGCATTAAAACAGTGCGCATACAAACTTTTGACAAGGCCTTCGCCCTGAAAGTCGCTCTTGCCGAAGGTGACTTGTCATGTTAAGTAAAAACCGGTGTAAAATCGCCTTCCAGCTCAGCACAAGGGCAAACAGTACGTGAGGACGTGGGCCTAATCGAGGTGGTCGTCTCGATCACACGTGATCAGCAATTTCCAGGAAGCCTGAAAGCCAATTTCAGGCAATCAGTGGAAATCAGCTGGATCACGATCAGCTGATCGCCCCACCTCGATCAGACTCGATTTTAACCCCGATCAGAGCCAATTTTCCTCGATCACAGAAGATCACTTAATTGCATGTGATCGAGGCCCACAGAGTCGCTTGCGTGTAGTTACAATGTTTCATTTACAGTAGAACGAAGATTTTCGTCAGGTGACATCTGTTCGTCAATCTCGCTAGAAAGGGGAAGAAATGCCAGGCAAATGTATCGCGCTTGCTGAGCAGGCGCTGACAATCTTCTCCGAAAAAGATCTCTGATCGGGCGGCTCGGGCACTGCGATCAAAAGCAACCGATCAGATCCGTCTTGATCATATCAGTCGCAAACGAAATCGCTTGGGCCCACGTCCTAATTTTGGAGGCTAGCCCATGAAAATATCTTCTCTGTACACCCGTATGATTTTTTTTTCTGTGTATGAAGAGCACAAATTTAGACCCGTTTTTTACTTGCTCTGTATGGAGGTGGCCGAAGAAATTTCTTCTCACCCGTTTTTGGGACAACCAGCTGCCCCACCACAGGTTCGAGGTGGTCGGGACGGGGCTGCAAGATTTGACTCCGTTTCGTCAACGAACCACACAAGGCCACTTTCCCGCCATCCTGGCGTGCGGGAAACTCAAGTTGCCAGAATGCCAACGGAGATGGCAGGAATTTGCGTATATATGAACTTACACCCGAAAATCCATAACGGTTGGTTTCGGTGGATGTCGGAATTGGTGCTGGCTCTTACGGTGGCAGAGTCCAGCTCTGGCTTCTTTGAGATTGGGAAGCTTGGGGGTATTCCCAGAGGCTTTAGGCTCTTGAGATAGGCTGAATCACCATGCAACCAAGTCACCCAATCTATCCCAACTTTTCAGAGGCACGCTACTTGTCCTATCTTGCATGCACACTGGTGGGGCGGTCATTTCTTCATTTCCTAGGGACTGCGCTGTACAGGGTACTGTAGTTGACAACAGACGCGATGTTACACCATAATTCCATTACGATTTTGAGTTTGAAATGTTTGTTCCAACTTATGCAGTGCCAAACGGTTCGCCTAAATGCGCCGAGCTCGCGAAAAGAATTGGATATGACTACAAGAAATAATCTCAATGTTGGGGTTGTAAAGATGTCTCTATCTGCGCTTTCTGCTAGTCCAACCCACTCAATGTCGGGGTTCAATATAGGGTTTGCGACGCAATAGATTTGGGCTGGCAAATGCTTATGCGTGTACCTTATAAAAAATTACTCAGAGCCACTTCATCGGGTGTAACCAATGACAGAGCTGCACTCCAAACAGAGTTCCAAAGCGTGGGCGGCATTTCTGCCCGGCATTACTAGACACCCCAGATCTTCCAGGTTTACTAAACACCCCGCTAGTATGGGCGTCTTATAACCATATGTAACTGTCCATGTGTGCCCAAACACTCACACCTCTAAAAAGGAAATAGGACAGTTTTTCCACGCACACCTCTCACCAACCAACTAGGTAACAGGTTCTTAAAGGTTGGTACCTACCGAGACCGCCATTCATTGCATCGAAGGTGTGGACGGAAAATAAAAGGTTTCCCCAAACCATCGGCCAGGGTGGCAGCACAATCGAGAACCGCCCACACTCAACAAGCTGCAGTGAATCCTCTGTTCTCTGTACGTGTTGCAGTTGCGTGTACGACACCGTCAACTGCAACAAAACAAGTCAACGCCTGCACAGTGCCCATCCACAATTTCAATGAGAAACAACGCGAGAAGCTGCCGTGCGGAAATCAATGCCCAGAAACTCTCGTCCTATCATTGCGGATGACTCGAGCTATAATTGACAAATTCATACTCGCTATCACATTCATCCACACAAACAAGAACCGTCGAACTTGCAAATGTAAAATTACGTTGCCTAAGTGCCTAATTGCATGGTGAGAATCTTACTAAAATCCCTTTCCGCACTGCCGCACTGCCGCACAAAGGTACCTGAAATATGGCTAATTCATGTAATTGTGCTCTGGTCATATTCGCATACGGTACTCCTTTTTTATTATTTACTCATTCAAACAGTCAGATATATATAATTTTCATAAGCATGCAATCAAAAAGTGACATGCTCTAATAAACGCTTTCCTTTAAACGCTAAGTTCCCTAACCAAAACTCCTAACAAACTGTCTCCTCCTTGAAACATCTTTAGTCGCATGTCTACCAAGCATGATGCATCCACTCACCCCTTCCATATACCCAATCCACCAAATATACTGTGTGCAAAAAACTCGCGCGTGTCAGTGCTCTCTGCAGAGCTATACTTGTTGTGGCTGTCAAAGTCCCAACCAAGTATGCTGAGAAGCGTGAACTGTTGCCGTTTCCCACAACTTTGCTAAGAGCAGGTCCTATGTTATCAGGATAATTTATCCTGAATTTCCTGAATTCAGAATAGGTGCTGTGGGTCTGTCATGGAAAAACAACATTAGGGAAATACTTGTCCGGTAAAATCAGTATAGTGGTTATTTAGCGTACTGACAATTCAATACAACGGTGTAGGTTCAACCGTGATGGTTCAGGATAGTGTCGAATCTGTCACTGAAGAGAGATGTATTGCGGAAGAAAAAATTGCGGCCAAGTGTATACCCGACCCCCGACATCTACTTCGCGCCCTTGGTGAGGCGGCGAGGAGCCAGCGGGAATCGAGCTTTGACCGTTGGTGTGCCAGCCCGATGCATTAACTACAGTACTTAGTGGTCGATCCTTGAAAGTTCAGTATGTCAAAACATTGTATTGTGTAGGCTGTAGTGGGGTAGCCTATATGGGGTACAACCCAGTTTAGGGTTAGCACTTGTACCAAACCTTGTCATAGTTCATTCATTCCTGGTTAGTCCTCATTCTGACATGGTATCAGAGCAGGTCCTGTCCCAGGACCGTTCTCGTTAGGGCCCACCGATCGAACCCTGCCCACCACGAACCGATTTTTTTTTCCTGCCCGGAGCGCGCTCCTGCCCGAGTCGCGCCCCGTGTGCCCTCCCTACCGTCGCGCCCTCTCTCGGCCCCTCACGGCCTCTTCGCGTTGCCCTTAGCGGCCCCTCTCGCGGCCCCTCGCGCCGCCCTTACGGCCCCTCGCGCCGCCCTTACGGCCCCTCGCGCCGCCCTTACGGCCCCTTACGGCCCCTCGCGCCGCTCGTCGGCCCCTCGCGTCGCCCTTAGCGGCCCCTTACGGCCCCGTGCCGCCCTTACGGCCCCTCGTGCGGCCCCTTACGGCCTCTCGCGCCACCCTTCGCGGCCCCTTGCGGCCTCCCCCTGGCCCGTCGTCGCCCCTCGCGGCTCCGTCGCCGCCCTTACGCGGCCCCGTCGCCGCCCCTTGCGGCCCCGACGCCGCCCTACCTCAGCCTCGCCGCCGCTCCGCTACGGCCCCGCCGCCACCCCTCACGGCCCCGAGACCGCCGAGCCGCCGAGCTGCCGACAGCCGAGTCGCCGAGCCGCCGAGCCGCCACTGCTGCCGCTGCCACCGTGCCGCCGAGCCGCCGAGCCGCCGAGCCGCCGAGCCGCCGGGCCACCGAGCCGCCGAGCCGCCGAGCCGCCGTTGCCGCCGAGCAGCCGCTGCAGCCGAGTTGTCGCCGTCCCTGCAGTCGCGGCCCTGTCCCTCCCGACGCGCCTCGGCCCCTCTCGCCTGCCCGGTAAGAGCAGCGCCTCTGCCACTGCACTGCTCTTAGCCTGCTGCTCTCACTGCTAGTCTACTGCTGTCATGGCCACCCCCAGTGTTCTCACCTTTGATGCTGAGGGTCGGGCTGTTGACTTTGAGGTCTGGCTCGATGACCTGCAGCTTTTCCTATAGTGCTTCAGAGCAGACGGTCTCTCCCTCTTTGACCTCACTTCTGGTGCCTCTCCTTCCCCTGCTGCTGATGCTGACGCCACTGTTCGCTCACAGTGGGCCACGCGCGATGCTGCTGCCCGCCTTGCTGTGCGCCGCCACTTGCCGACTGCTGAGCGTGCGCACTTTAGTCAGTACAAGAGTGCTAAGACCTTGTACGACGCTGTAGTTGCACGCTACTCTTCCCCTGCCACTGCTGCGCTCAGCCGCCTCATCCTACCGTACCTCTTCCCTGACCTCGCCGCTTTTCCCACTGTCGCTGACCTCATTACGCACCTTCGCACTAGTGACACTCGCTACCGCGCTGCGCTTCCTGCTGAGTTCTGCGCCAAGAACCCCCCCCCCATGTACATCACCCTCTACTACATAGTCACCCGGCTCCCTGACACCCTTCGCTCGGTCAGGGACCACTTCCTCTCTGTTTGCCCCACCACTCTCATCGTTACCCTCCTCGAGGAGCGTCTCCTAGCAGCAGAGAAGAGCATAGTTGCTGTAGGAGCCTCTCGTGGTGACCCTCGTACCCCTGTCTTTGAGGGGTGCTCCCCCTCCCCCCTCTTGCCCTCTGTTGCCTCTGCTGCTGCGGTCGACCTTGTTGGTCTTGAGTCGGTCGCTGCGGCGTCTACCTTTAGTGGGAGACGCCGCCCAGGCAAGGGCAAGGGGGGCAAGGGCGCTGGGGGAGCTGGCGGAGGCGGTGGAGGCGGCAGTGGAGGAGGCGGAGGGAGTGGGGGTGGCGGTGGGAGTGGTGGTGGGAGTGGTGGTGGGAGTGGGGGCACTAGTGGAGGCAGTGGCGGCGGAGGAGGAGGCGGTGGTGGAGGTAGCGGCGGCGGAGGTGGAGCGGGTCGGGGCGGCCCCAGGCAGAGGGTCGGCTCCGGTGGTGGTACGCGCCAGCAGCAGCAGCAGCAGCGTCCTCGTGAGACCCCTTCCCCCCAGCAGCTTCGTGAGTGGTACACTGCTCGTCAGCGGGGCGGGGGTGCTGGCCCCTGTACCTACGTTCTCCGTACCGGCGACCGCACGGGTGAGCAGTGTGGGGGGGCGCACTCCACCCAGCGCTGTTTCGGCCGTCTGACGGACGCGTGGCGTCACCAGTTTCCCGACGCTACTGAGATCCCTCGCTGGGGCGAGCTGTCTAGGGCGGGTGTTGCGATCTTTGATCTTGATTATGATGCTATTCTTGCTGCCATGTATGCTGTGACTATTAGTGATGAGGGTGACTGTTACCGGTGTTTTCCGCCTGACCCGGGCATTGAGGCTGCTGCGCTAGGTGCTTGTGAGACTACTGCTCTACCGCACTGGGTGTCGGTGAGTCTGCGCTTTCAGGCACTGCGTCGTGTACGGACACCCACACCTTCACACTCGACTCGGGTGCTTCCCGCTCCTTCTTTCGAGACTGCACCACTCTCACGCCGCTCAGTCGGCCGGTTGCGGTCTCCCTGGCAGACCCCTCTGGGGGTCCTGTTCTTGCCCACTACTCCACTGTACTACCGTGTCCAGCGGTCCCGTCTGGCTCCCTGTCGGGTCTTTACCTCCCCTCGTTCTCTACGAACTTGGTGGCGGGTGCTGACCTACAGGATGGGGGGGTTGACCAGTTCACCCCTGCGCGTCAGCGAGTGACCCACTGCACGTGTGCAGACACGGGCCGACACTTGGCCACGTTTACCCGTCGGCCGGGGTCGAGCCTGTACACACTGACTACTGAGTCTCCTCCAGTCACTGAGTCTGCTCAGGTAGCAGCGTCGGGTCAGGTGTTTGCTGCGGCTTCTAGGTCTGGTCCTGAGTCTGCCCCCTGCTCGTGTCGTCTCCTGTCCCACCGGACTCTCCTCTGGCACCACCGCCTTGGTCACCCCTCCCTGCCTCGCCTTCGGGCCATGGCTTCCCGTCTTCTTGTCTCTGGCCTCCCCCGGTCCCTCCCTCCCCTTCCTCCGGGGCCTGCCCCCACCTGCGTTCCCTGCGTCGAGGGGCGGCAGCGCGCTGCCCCTCACTCCTCCGAGTTTCCTCCGACAGAGGCTCCGCTGCAGACGCTTCACATGGACGTGTGGGGCCCAGCCCGCGTCCGTGGGCAGGGTCACGAGCGTTACTTCCTGCTGGTGGTTGACGACTACTCGCGTTACACCACAGTCTTCCCCTTGCGCAGCAAGGGTGACGTCACTGAGGTGTTGATCGCCTGGATCCGCGCAGCTCGTCTCCAGCTCCGGGAGAGTTTCGGCTCGGACTTTCCTGTTCTGCGTCTGCACTCCGACAGAGGCGGAGAGTCTTCCTCTGACCTTCTGCGGGCCTTCTGTCGTGCACGAGGCATCCGCCAGACCTTCACGCTTCCGGACTCTCCGCAGCAGAATGGGATTGCTGAGCGCCGCATTGGCATGATCATGGACGTCGCTCGTACGTCCATGGTCCATGCGGCTGTCAGAGGTCCACTGGTGATCCCCGTTGATCCTAGGGAAGGGTTACAGGCACGTTGGCCTTGGGGGTTATGGGCGCACTCACCCGCTACACAAAAAAGCCCTTTTATCCCAGTGGTTAGTGACTGGGATTCTGACATGGTATCAGAGCGAAGGTCTCGGGTTCGATTCCCGGTGTGTGCACTTCGGGCATCCCAGTGCGGGGGGGTGTCAGAGGTCCACTGGTGATCCCCGTTGATCCTAGGGAAGGGTTACAGGCACGTTGGCCTGGGGGGTTATGGGCGCACTCACCCGCTACACAAAAAAGCCCTTTTATCCCAGTGGTTAGTGACTGGGATTCTGACAGCGGCTGCCCCCCATTTTCTGTGGCCGTTTGCGGTTCGGTACGCGGCGCATCAGATCAACCTTCACCCCCGGGTCTCCATGCCGGAGACCTCCCCTGCTTTGCTGTGGACGGGGAAGGTTGGCGATGCGTCTGCGTTCCGTGTCTGGGGATCTCGGGCGTTTGTCCGCGACTTGTCTGCGGACAAGCTGTCCCCTCGTGCTGTTCCCTACCTCTTCCTTGGCTTCCCTCCTGACGCGCCAGGCTGGCAGTTCTACCACCCCACCTCGCGCCGTGTTCTGTCCTCCCAGGACGTCACCTTTGACGAGTCGGTTCCCTACTACCGTCTCTTCCCCTACCGCACTGCGTCCCTCCCTCCCCCGCCGCTCTTCCTTACGCCAGGTCCCCCTCCGGTAGACCCCCTCCCCCCTCAGGGTCCTGCTCCCTCAGGTGTGTCCCAGGTAGATGCAGTCGAGCCTGTCGAGGTAGCTGCTGACTCTGAGAGGTGCTGCGTCTGGGGGTGCTGAGTCTGGGGGTGCTGAGTCTGGGGGTGCTGCGACTGGGGGTGCTGAGCTTGGGGGTGCTGCGCCTGGGGGTGCTGAGCCTGGGGGTGCTGAGCCTAGGGGTGCTGAGCCTGGGGGTGCTGCGCCTGGGGGTGCTGAGCCTGGGGGTGCTGTGTCTCGGAGTGCGGAGCCTGAGGGTGCTGGGCCTGCTCGTGTGGCGTCTGGTGGTGCTGGGCCTGGAGGTTCTTCGAGTCCTTCGTCCCGGCGGGAGCTACTCTCTCCACAGGAGCTGCGTGAGTGGTTTGCCCGGTGCTGGAGGCGTGCTGCTGAAGCTGGTGGTGCTACGGACGCTGGAGGTTCTGCTGCTGCTGAGGGTGCTGGTGCAGAGGGTCCCAGAGGTGCTCGTACAGGGTGTACTGGAGCTGCTGGGCCTACGGGTGCTCCTCCTGCTGGAGCTGGTGGTGCTACTGGTGCTACTGGCGTTGGTGCTGCTGGTGCTCCTGGAGCTGGAGCTGCTGCGTCTTCGGGTGGTCCGGCTGGAGCTGGAGCTACTGGGGGTGTTGGCGCTGGAGGTGCTACTGGCGCTGGTGCTGCTGAGGGTGCTGGAGTTGGAGCTGCTGGAGCTGGGGGTACTCCTGGTGCTGGTGCTCCCGTTGGGGGTGCTGGTGCTGTTCCTGCTGGCACTGGTGGCGCTGCGCGGCCACGGCCGTACTTCGTTCCGCTCCTTGAGCAGGTTCTTGGTCTTCCGTCCTCTCTTGGTCCTGCTCCTCCCTTAGCGTGTCCGCCTCCTGTCCAGACTGAGTCACAGTTACAGCCGGCCTCCCCGCTTCCTTCTCCTTCTCCCTACACTGGTCCTACTGGAGGTCTTGCTGAGCGTCGTGAGCCTGCGTCTCGCCCTGCGTCACCTGTCCGTGCTGCTCGCACTAGTGGTCGTGGTTCGCGTCAGCGTCCTCCCCCTGTCCCCGGCACGCACCGGATGTCTCTGCGTCCTTCCACTGCTCCGCTGCGTGCCCCTTTGCCCTCTCCTCCCGCGTCCTCTCTTCCTGAGCTTCCTGACCCTGAGTCGGACTCCCTTCGTGCTGCGCGTCCTACTGTCACACGTCTCCTTGCTACTGTCGTCACTGACCCTTCCTTTGAGTCTACTGCTGCGTCTGCTCTAGTTGCTGAGCTTGTCGACTTCGCTGCTCGCTGTCGCCTAGAGTACGCTGCCAATCTCGTCGTTGAGTCTGAGTCTGTCTGTCCTCCGTCCGTCGGGGGTGAGTGTGCTCTTGGCACGGACGTTCTTGAGGACAGGCAGGAGGAGTTCCAGTGCTTGGCTGCTGCTTCACCTCATCTCGTGTCCATGCTGCTTGCCCCTGAGGGAGACCCGGATGCACTTGACATCCCGACTCCGCGCTCTTACGCGGAGGCGATAGAGGGTCCCTACTCCTCTCAGTGGCAGGCAGCCATGGACGCAGAGATGGCTTCCTGGAAGTCCACAGGCACCTACGTTGACGAGGTTCCCCCGCCTGAGGCGAACATCGTCAGTGGCATGTGGATTTTCAGGGTGAAGCGGCCGCCGGGTTCTCCGCCTGTCTTCAAGGCGCGTTACGTGGCTCGTGGCTTCAGTCAGCGGCAGGGAGTTGACTACTTTCAGACCTTCTCTCCCACCCCGAAGATGACCACTCTTCGGGTACTGCTGCACATAGCCGCTCACCGAGACTACGAGCTGCACTCTCTTGACTTGCGGGCACCTCGTGAGTGGCACGACACACTGAGGACCATTCTTGCGGCTCTTGGGTTTGCTCCTTCTACTGCCGACCCGTCGCTGTTTCTGCGCACCGACTCTTCCTTGCCGCCGTTCTACATCCTCGTGTACGTCGACGACTTGGTCTTTGCTACAGCTGACACTGCTGGACTTGCCTACGTGAAGTCCGAGCTGCAGAAGAGACACACGTGCACAGACCTGGGTGAACTGCGCAGCTACCTTGGCTTGCAGATCACCCGGGACAGAGCACAGCGCACCATTACCCTGACTCAGTCACACATGGTGCAGCAAGTCCTTCAGCGCTTCGGCTTCACGTACTCCTCGCCTCAGGCCACTCCTCTGCCTACACGCCACTCGCTCTCAGCTCTGCCTTCGGATGAGTCCGTAGAGTCGAGTGGCCCGTACCCAGAGCTTGTTGGCTGCCTCATGTACCTGCGCGCGTCATTTTTCATCCCGCCGCGCGCCCCGCGCACTCGGGGCGCGCGGCGGTTTTCTGCTCGGCGCGCCGCCCCGTGGAGCCGCGCGCGGCCCCCGTGCACCCGCGCGCAGCCCCGTGGGACCCGCGCGCCGCCCCTGTCGATTCGCGCACAGCCCCGTGGAGCCACGCGCGGCCCCCTGTGCACACGACGCGCCGCCCCGTAGGACCCGCGCGCAGTCCCGTGGGACCCGCGCGCCGCCCCCGTCGACCCGCGCGCCGCCCCAGTGGACCCGCGCGCCGCCCCAGTGGACCCGCGCGCCGCCCCGCGGCCCCCCGCGCGCACTGCCCTGTGGCTCCCGTGCGCCGCCCTTGCCCTCGTGCGCCGCGGAGCGGCTTCCTCCCAGCCCCCCCCCCCTGTTTTCTCCTTCCTCTCCCTGTAGCCGTGGGGGGGAGGGTATGGGGGTGGCGGTTATGGGGGTGACGGGAGTGCGTCCACAGCTGCTCCTCCTCCTCTCTCTCCCACTGCTGCAGCTGCCGCTGAGGGGGGAATGATGTGGGAGCTGAGGGAGTGGCGCTAGCCGGGGGGGATGTGAGAAAAGGGTTTGGGGGCAATGGGGGGAGGTTGGAAGGAGGTAGCTGCTGTGTCGCCTGCTGCTCCAGTAGTCCGGATGCCTCTTGCTCCGGTAGCACGTGAGCCCGTCGCTACAGTCGCCCGTGGGTCAGTTGCTCCAGCCGCTCGTCTTAGCCGCGGAGCCAGTTACTCCAGTAGTCCGGATGCCCTTGCTCCGGTAGCCAGTGTGCCAGTTGCTCCGTTGCCCGTGTGTCAGCAGCTTCACCTGCCGCCTCCCAACTCCTCTCCTCTCGTAGTCCCTCCTCCTCCTCACTGCCCCTCTGCTATGTCAGCCACTAGGACTAATTTGTGAACCTGCTCTATGACTGCTTGCTGTGCTGATTATACCCCACTTTGCCTATGGGGGTGTGTCAGAATGTTATAATTGTCTAGTCTGCAGTGGGGTACTCAATAGTGAGTACAGCCCTGTTAGGGTTTCGTATTTGTATCCCCTCTGTCTGCTAGTGCAATCCCTCTTCTTTCTGTTTACATTTCTGCTGCTCATTCTGACAAGGCACGGTTGTGAGAGTGATCGTAGCTTTCCTTAGCGTTTGCTCATGTTCTGTCTACGCACACATTCACGGGGAGAATTGGCAAAACTTTCACTAGCAAAAGTTGTAAACAATGGTGAACAACAATGTTGGCGAAGCTTACTACATCACAAGCAAGTCTGCCTAGCATGCAAGCAGGTCGACTTCCAGCGCAATAAGGTCGACCGCATTCCAGCACTGTAGAAAGACGGCTTGCCAATGCAGCAAGTCAACTGCGTGCCAACGCTGCAGCCAGGCAACTGTCCAGCGTTGCACCTGCATCACAATAGCACACCTACTTCGCAATTGCTCGCAGTTGGTTGGCGTGCTGTGCCCCGTCACATGCACAACGCAGACGCCAAGCTGACCACGTGCCAACGACCGCGTCTGATCAGCCACGTCGACCTCGGGATACCACCACCGAGGTCGGATTCGCTAGAACCACCTGGGCGATTGTCGCGCACCTCCACAAAACCCCGTCGCCCCGGTAACTTGGTCGACCAGGCAACCACGTCGACCAAGTGCTGCTCCTCGTGCCCGTCGATTGCCCAAGTCGACGACCACCCTATGCCGACTTCACGAAGTTGGCCACTCCCCCAGGTCGACCATTTCTGGTCGACCAGGCCTGCCGACTGCACCCACCCGGCTTCCCCAGGACGGCGCCATGAAGTCGGCGCCCTACCAGGTCAACGCCACCAGGTTGACCTCCCAAAGTTGGCGCCCTCCCAAGTCGG